CTACTATAGTTGATGTTCAATATCCACAAGGTGTAGAGTAAAATTTACCTCCTCTTATTGAGGTTCATAAAGCTCAAAAGATTGAATTGTGGTTTCAATTGCTTCATGATGGGTTTGAGAATCTTAAATCACTTGTTAATAACTTATCATTTCAGCATTTACAATATTAATATCATATTAAAGACAACCTTATTATTTTATAAAGACTGATCATTTATAATTGATGGTGCTTTCAATCTTTATTCTATATTTTCTCCACACTTACAATGACTCTTCTATTCTAGGTAGGCATATAGAACATCAATGTATGACTGAAAAGTTATATATATTTTTGTATTGGTTGAAAATGCAACATGATATTATCTAGAATATGCATAGTTATGTTTGATATTAAGTTAATAATACTCCTGCTCATGCTGCAGAAAGATGGTTTGAGTCAATTGTAAATTTGAGTCCATTTGAGTTGATGGCATTTGATTTAATGGGGATTTTTCCACGATCAATTATTCGCAAAAAATATGTCATTATTGTTTTCAATTATATGACTCACTAGGTGAAAATTGGTGTTGTTGCTAGTGCATTTGTAACTACTATTGGATATTTCCTCCTCAATTGAATGGTGTTTTAGCATTTTTGTTCAGAGTATATTCTTTCGAATAATGGTCTTGAATTTATAGCTGATGCATTCATGTTTTAACGTCTAAGCTAAAGATATGCCACACTGTCAAAAATGTTTAGATAAATGGTTTACTAAAATAGCTTGTTCAAACTTTTAGATGAATGATTGCAAAGTATATGTACTTTAAACATTTAGATTGGGATAATTTCTTTGGTATGTGTATATCACAAGGTTCAAAGTTTCATTAGTGCTTCACCATAAAAACTCTTATATAATCATGATTTAATACTTCCAAAGGAGTTGAATTTACGTTCACAATTGTCATGAGCTAGATACTAGAAGCAATATTTAATAAGCATTCTTTACTGGTTTGAGTGAAGTTTATTGAATACTTGGGTTGCATACAAATGAGATAATAATGGTGCTACAACTTTCATTATCATCCACCTACAAAGTACAAAGTGGATGACTTAGTATTAGTTTGTTTTCTCAATTGTTTGTCTAAAAAAATCTTTACTTAGTGGAAATGACCATATTGAGTGTTGTGATAAATTGGATTGCAAGTTTGTGAAGTTTAGCATGATATTTAATAGATCGATCCTTTAAAAATTATGCATATATATAGTGGTTGAAATGCTTCATACAAAGGGATCAGGAATAAGTTGCACCATCTAAATACCTCTTCTTGAAGTTTTTCCATATTCTTGTTTATTAACCAAAGAATCTTAAGTACGTTCCATCCTTCCTAGAGAAAGAGATAATGTAAGGTCCAAGTGTATGGCTTTGATGCCATATATTGATATTAGCGTAATATGATTTTGATATCTATTGGATTGGTTTTTTATAACAGTCACTTCTATATATAAATTAAGGTTTTTAGGCTATTTGAATATACACATTTTTATATTCTATGCACTCACAAATCCATGTTCTATGGCATTGAAGTAATTAATCCAATCCATATCCTATGGCATTGAAGTAATTAATCCACTAGAGCATTACAAATATAATATTATAGATTTATAATATAGAAATTCATCAATGAAACTTTCATATTTAAATATTATATCTAAAAACCTAACCTGAAAAAAATACTATTATTTTGTTAAATAGTAGTGTTATTCCTGTTCAGTTTTACTTATTAGTTCAATTGAAAGAATTCTAAAAGTTTTTACTAGAAGAGAATTAGGTTTTTTGGTGAGAGTTCCATGATTATTTTAGATTAATGACTTGGTATTATACTCTACAATGAACTCTTTGAGTAACTATATACTAGCAATCAGATAAATTATAATAATAATATAAGAATTAGATGGTAGAATATTTTAGAATATCCAAGCACTTAAGCAAATCAAAAAGTTAGAAACATTCCAGGAAAGGTATTAATAGAGTGAAAAACACTCATCGAGATAGCATACGCTCTAGAGCAAGCCAGTAACATTAGAAATCCACCACCTTTATAAGAATAACATATAACTAGCAGCTCGGTTGGGGGGTTTTGTTTGGGGCGGGTTAATCTAATCTAATACTAGTTTTTGTTCCATGTTTATCGCATTAATTTAAAACTGGTCTAGTAATCTATAGATCTATAGCTAGAGACGAGAAATTAAACAATGTACTCATCATGGCTATGGAAAAAGCCTACACTAGAAGATATGGAAGCTTGCTTTTTTGGGAAGGTAGAGCTCCTTCCCGCTCGAACGTTTTTGTTCCAGGATTTTAGGGTTCGCATTGGCGCTGCTGGAGCTGGAAGCGGCGGGCGATCGGCGCCATGGATCAAGAGGCAAGACTGCATTTTATGAGAAATTTCTGGCCTGAATCTTGGCGTTAGAATCATCGCGGCAGTAGAATCGTCGAAGTTTTTGCTTGCCGCTTCCCTGGTAGGAATCTAACGCTTTCGTGTGTGTGCCCAGGCAGCGCAGCGATCCATGGGCCTACGCTTTCATCGAGCTGGAGAGATCGCAACGCGGTGCTGCTACTCACGGACCGCAGCCGCCGGATGAGGCGTTGGTGCCGGTGTGGCGCCATCATTCCAGCCGCGGTTCAAAGCTTTGCTACCTCGACAAGGCTGCGGCCTCCCTGGTGGAGTTTTGGGTCTTCGCTTGAGGGAAGAGCCCTTGGATCCCCAGGGTAGCTCATCCGAGCAGTGGTCCGAACAAGAAAACGGCGAGATCCTTGGAAAGGTTTGTCTTCACTGCCTAAATTGGTCGCTTGAGGAGCTGCAACACGGTAAAGGGTATCCTAAAGACGATAGCACGAAGGAGGAACAACAAAGTTAAGAACTTTTCACTAGAACTGTGGGAAATAGTCCAGGAGGATGCAAGAATCGGTCGCTCAGTGGGAACTGCTAAATGGACTCGTGTCACGGCTGTTACGGGAAGATAAATTCCATTGGCACCTTGGTACTGCTTCAACTTTATCTCTCGACTAGAAATCTCGACCGGTTTCAGCTGCATTGTGGTGGACGAAGAACAGGAACTAAGCCTAAGCCTTCAGTACTCCTAGCAGTACTGAGGGAATGTTGAGAGTCATTGTCATGTCGGCTACAGCCGATGCGGAACTCTTCAGCGACTACTTTGGCATCGAAACCACTTGTCGTTCCTGGAAGTACTAGGTTGAGATCCACTACGAACTGCGTGGGAATGCCAACATCGATACAAGGACAATGGAAAGAGTTTGCGAGCTCCACAAGGAGGCCAATGGGCTTTCCTCACGTCCCAGGCGGATGTCGAATGGGTCTGTAAACGATTGGCAAATACGCTGCTTGTGCTGCTTCTTCATGGAAGGCTTCGTGAAGAGGATCAGCAACAGCTGGTACTAGAAAGATAGTTTCTGCAACAAATATCGCCGAGACGTCTTCGACGATACCAGGAATCAGGTACTTAAGTTCTTTTACGATGATCTTCCTTGAACCATGTCGCTTTCTCGGCTTCTAGGCACTTGGTGGATCCAGGATTGTCAAAGCAAGCTATCTTTGATCCACAGACTGGGATGACAACGCTGGAGCTTACGGCAATCAGTCAAAGCTCCGCAACTCAAAGAGGTCGCACGAGTTCTGGTGTCAGCTACAGATTGTACAACGATGAAGACTTTGACGACATGGCGTTGCTGTTCTCACATGGGGATAGTAGTTCTCAAGCTTCTGGCACTAGGCATATAGGACGTGGAAAACTTTGACTTCGTGGAGCCTCCCAGCATCAGCGCTATCAGGCATGCAATGACGAGTTTGCAGCGGCTGGATGATGAAGTAAAGAACTGGGAACTTCGGATTAACACCAAGAACATTCTCGACAGTTGTGGTCTGGTTCTCATTCCTTTGATATCATCTTCGACCGTCGAAGTTCGACGACCATCTCATTGGCATGGAGACCTGTTCAACCTCTTGGACGTGTACAGCATCAACACAAAGTCACTGAGGAGCTTCCAGGAACAGATAAGAGACCTGAAGGACGAGACAATCAGGAAGATCGTCACGTCGGCTTTTATGGAGAAGCTGGCAGTTTTCTGGCAACGGGCGAATCGGATACGACTGGGTCGAGAGGCTCACATTCATCCGGAGACTGTCCACTGGGGCTGGTATTTTTCTGCTCGTCGAGGGAGTTTTTGAGCTGCGTGACCGTCGTGGATCCCGAATGGGTGGCCGATCGTTACGGGTATGATTTGGAGTCACAGAGCGGTCATATCGAACTTGGGGAACACTCTCATGGCTAGAGTTCGCGGCAAAGAACAGAGCGGACTAGCTTTGCTACAAAAGCAGCTCGAGGCCAAAGGTGTCAGCCAAACAAGGTCCAGGATCGAGAGCTGCATGAACGAGCTGCACGTATGGCAACAGTGGCGAGACAGAAGTGCTGGCTTCAGAACGAGTGCATCGAGAAGCAGCTGAGATTCCGAACGCCCGTGACTCTGATCGTGTCTGGATGGTGAAAGAGATAGTGTTTGATGAGTGAGGTGAAGGCATCTCCAGATTTTGGAGCGTCACCTCAGACAAAGTGGGGTTTGGTCGCCTTTCGACGCACAGCTTCTCCCCAACTTGCGGTGAAACTCGACACTTTCAAAGCCGGCGCGTTTGCTGCATCGATGCCGTGATACTTTCATGCACAGGAAAGTGATCTGCGGCTCATACGTCACGTGTGAAGTCAGCCAGCGCTCACAGCCCGGTGTGTTATCTCCGACTATGCAAGACTTGGAAGCTTTGAGTGGGAAGAAGATGACGAAGCTTATCGTGATTCATGAGAAAGATGCGGGTTATAAGTGAGTACCAGCGGGTCTTGGAGACCAAGCACCGGGAGTATGTTCCAGCAGACAGGTTTGAGGTCGAGGTGATTGAGAGGTTTGTCGGCCAAAGCTTGGTTCAGGTTCAACGTGAATGCTCACGACGCTGCAATGCTCTTGCTAGCCTTGAAGGGACGACTCTGGATGTCTGAGGCGTGGGGGAGGCGTGGCAGAAAGTTACATGCAAAGCGGAGTTTCTCTTCCCGTCTACACTTTACTCTGCCAAGGGAATGGAGCAGCTCAAGGCGGATAACACACTAGGTGCGACTTTGAAGGTATGCTACTCTTATTCAATTTCCGTTTTCCACTCGGAAACCACTGTGTGAAGGTATCTCCGAAGGCGTACGAGAAAGGTGTGGCTCGGTGCAAGGCAGAACAACTGGTGGAAGACTCTCCTCTCGAAGGGCCTGCTGGATAAAGCTGCAATGAAGACGAGAGAGGGGCTTCGCCTGGCAAAGAAGATTGAAGAGGAAACCGGCCATGGTTAGATGCAACCAGAAGATCTCACTGCGAGGCGACGGGAGCTCCTCTTGGGATGATGAGAGCTCTGTTTGGGAAAATACGGGGTCGACTTAGCCGGGCTGGAAAAATCAGTGGGAGCTGCAGTGAGCATGAACCACCGGTGGCGTGCACGGGGATGAGTGCTTGGAGCAAGCAAAGCACAGATCGTCAGCGTCTGGAAGAAGGAAGCAATCCAGCAGTAGCAGTGGCAATAGACGCAGCAAAAGGATTGTTCGGTGTGTTTATGCCCGAAGTGGCTCGAGGCCACAGCTTTTGCCGCGACAGCATTGCCAACCAGCTTGGATCGAGCGTCAGGAACAGGGATGGACTTGCGAAGGCTGCCAGGAGGTGTTCCCGTTGTCGACTTCGCGGCCTTGCTCACAGCGCAGTAGATGGACGAGCTGTGCAAAGCTTCCGTGGGACTTTTCGGGCCTTGAGCGGGGGGAGCTACAGGTTTTGTCGACTGCCTCAAGAGCTCATTTTCTTTGCGCTTGAAACGCTCGGCTACGTACCCAGGCTATGTACTCACGGAAGCCCAATACAAGGCTATATATAGGGCTTTATATCCTCTCGCCCTAGCGCCCTAGCCTCCGGCTCTCTCTGATGGGATTATGATGTTCTTCTGCCGTTGCAGATGCCAAATGCTGCCAAGCAAAATGCGAGTGCATTGGAGCACATGGTATGGCATTCTAGTACCCAGCATTTCTGATTTGTGGGAGTTCTTCCCAAGTCCCTCCTAATTTGCAAAGATATGGTTTTCATGTAACTCCAGAGTAGCCACCCTTGACAATGCTCTTTGTTTGACACAATGTTATGAAACGTCGCCTGTTTCACTTCTCGCTGCTCATCTTTTACCTCTGCTTCCTATGAGTGATGGTTTATATAAGTGACTAATTTTTCCATTCTACTTTAGTCACTTAACCACACCTCCGACCTAAAAAAGACCCTTACCCTCCTACACCCATGTATTATGTATTGGGGTTGTTCACAAGATTAATACAAGGCTATTTATAATGTTAAAGTTCAAGAGATTGAAATTATATATTAAGTGGCCAAAGATGCATGAAATCTTGAACACAAGGATCAAGTCTACAAAGAAGCTATAGTGACTCAATTCAAGACTCTCATACAAAGAAGCTGTAATGACTGAATTCAAGACTCTCATAGAGAGCCATGTGGGTGCTCCTCAGCTTCATGTCATTAGGGCTCTTGAGCAGCATACACGCCGAGTTGGGACTCGGTTTGACAGCCTGTACGTGGTTGTCTGTCCTGGGCGAAGGTTGTTGTGTCTTTCTCCAGAGATTGGTGCCCAGGAAATCCCTCTTTTTGGGATGTGTGTGATCAAGGACGCCAACTTTTACGATTACACACGCGCAATAAACAAGTTGGAAGCTTGCCACGTCTTCAAGCACCCCGACTACAGACAACGGTACCCTAACGGCGTTCATTAAGAACGTGCTCTCTCTCTACTGTCAAGAAACATCATAAAGTTAAATAAAATGAGTGTTTATCCTTACGTAATTAGCAAGCGTGAAAAAAACAATGTGCCGCGCGGTACAGTTGAGCTCAAGCAGGATACCGCGCGGCACCATAGTAGGGGTACTGTTTAAGCAGCTGCTTGGTTGCAAGCTGCTCGAGTTTGATCTTTTCGTACCGGTTCCAGCGGGATCCTGGCCGTTCGTTCGATTGATTTTTCACTGTCGATACTTAAAGAATATACTTGGTATAAAGTTTAGGGTTTGAGGGAGGTTCGTCTCCACCAGATCGATTGCCGTCGCCTGTGATCGCGTTGCACTGCTACGGAGCTACATCGCTCCTCAAGGCCCTCTGTGATACGGTCCGATCCTCGATAAAAATGCTCGTATCTTTTCAATACAGCAGGCTGCTTCAGGGATTCTTGCCGATCTAGTACCTACATCGCGTTCCAAAACTCTCAAGGCTCTCTTTGATAGCATTGTCCAGGTAAGGGATCCTCGATAAACATGATGAATTAAAAAAGCTCGTAGGTTTTCAATACCAACTCTTATCGATCTGGTATAGCCCCTGTTGGTTCTGGACATTTTCTTTGGAGGATGAAGGCTTACAGCAGCAGCAGCAACGGGCACTACAAGAAGGCTTATGACGGCAACTGCAGCAACGAGCACAAGAAGGCTTACGACGGCGGCAGCAGCAACGGGCACTACAAGAAGGCTTATGACGGCAACAGCAGCAACGGGCAGCACAAGAAGGCTTATGACGGCAACAGCAGCAACGGGCAGCACAAGAAGGCTTACGACGGCGGCAGCAGCAACAGGAAGTTCACAAAGGAAAAGCCGAAGGAGGTGGACACTTTTGCAATCGAGGACGATTACGATCGTATGCAAGCAAGGTAAGCAAGCTTATATGGTTTGATGTTTACTTGCTTTTGTTTGTAACAGGTATGAGATCATAGGAACTCATCGTCCCGGTGAGAAGGAGGGATTACTCGTCGACCAATGCAGAAAATGTAAGCAGAGAGGTCATTGGGAAAGACACTGCAAGGGGGTAAGAAAACTCACTTATTGAATTTTTGACTCTTTGTTTTTTGTTTTAGCCTGGAGTGGATGAACAAAAGAAATGCTACCTCTGCCTAGCGAAGGGGCACGATACTTATCACTGTTCAAGAGATCCCCTGCGAAATGAGGACTGGGCAGAGAGGACTTACACTGGACCAATGAAGAGAATTCATCTTGGAGTTTGTACCAGTTTCTATTCTGTGTTTCTTTGTATGTTTATTTGTGTACGTTTTCAGGTGGGTTATATCGTTCAGGTAGCAGACTTCCCGCAATACCATCCTCGTTTCTGCGTCCAACGGATTGAATACGAAAACCTCAAACGGATCTGCAAAAAACATCCAGACTTGGGAATCTTCATTGTGCCTGAGCCACCCCGCCCTCTTGCATCTCAAATCTGGGAAGCTTTTCAGGGACTCGATGGATTTCTCAACGCAGGCCTAGGCTTCGAGTTATACAAATCCAAGGAAGAAATGCCTCCAGGGTATAAGCGGTATGCAGCTGCAGATGAAGCATTGATTGAAGAATTGAAGAGCAAAGGAGAACTGGATGAGTTTGAGTATGCTTCTCTGCTAAACTGTATACGAATGAATGAATGAAAATAAAGTAAAAATAGATAGGAGTGGAAAGGTTATGAATAAAGTAATAATAGAAGGCATCTAGACCTTGGAGATTAAACCATCGGGGTGACACTAGAGAGCTATAAAGGTTACTGTTTTTGGCGTGTTCCCGCTCAAACGTTTTTCTCCCAGGGTTTTAGGTGGAAGCGATCGTCCCCGCATGATTTCTGGCCTGAACCTCCAGAAGTTTTTATCATCTAGTTTCTTTGCATTAATCTATAGGTTACTGTGTTGATTAGTCTGGGAAGAGCACTCAACTCGTTCAATATTTATGTGATGGTTGTTTCTCAAGTCCATCCTTTGTACACAGCCAAGGAAAGTAGCAGCTTTTGCTCTTACTTGACGGGTTGCCAAAGAATGCCACGGCTGTTACGAGAAGATAAATTCCATTGGTACCTTGTTATACAGGGATCAACAGGACCTTGCCAAAATGGTCTACACCACGGACCACGTACTGCTTCAACTTTATCTCTCGACTAGAAATCTCGACTGGTTCAGCTGCATTGTGGTGGATGAAGCACACGAGCGAAGCCTGAGCATCGATTTACTCCTGGCAGTACTGAAGGAATGTATGCGTGCATGGTCGGACTTGAGACTCATCATCATGCCAGCTACAGTCAATGCGGAACTTTTCAGCGACTACTTTCGCATCGAACACTTGTCGTTCCTGGAAGGAAGTACCCAGTTGAGATCCACTACGAACTGCGCAGGAATGCCAACATCGACAACCATGTAACAAGGACAATGGAAAGAGTTTGTGAGCTCCATAGGGAGGCTGATGACGGAGATATAGCTTTTTTCACGTCCCAGACGGATATCGAATGGGCGACTGGCAAATATGCCATGTGCGCTTGTGCTGCCTCTTCATGGAAGGCTTCGTCAAGAGGATCAGCAACTGGTATTCGAGGCAGCACCAGCTGGTACGAGAAAGATAGGCTTTGCAACAAATATCGCCGAGACGTCTTTGACGATACCAGGAATCAGGTACTTTTACAATGATCTTCCTTGAACCATGTAGTGCTACTCGCTTTTTCGGCTACTAGGTACGTGGTGGATCCAGGATTGTCAAAGCAAGCCATGTTTGATCCACAGACTGGGATGATAACCCTGGAGCTTACGGCAATCAGTCAAAGCTCTGCGACTCAAAGAGCTGGTCATGCAGGGCACACTAGTTCTAGTGTCTGCTACAGATGACATGGCGTTGCTGGAGACTTCTGAAATTTCCCGTTTGCACATGGGGATAGTAGTTCTCAAGCTTTTGCACTGATGTGGAAAACTTCATCTTTGTGGAGCCTCACAGCGTCAGTGGTATCAGTCACGCAATGAGGAGTTTGTAGTGGTTGGAAGCCATAGCTAAGGATGATGAAGTGAAGAACTAGAGGCTCACGAACTTTGGATTAAAACTGGCAAAGGTCTGGAGTGGGACCATGGCTAGGCAAGATCATTCTCGATTGCCAGGCTCATGGTTGTGGTCAAGAAGGTATGGTTCTTAGTACTCTGATATCATATGTGATGACATTTTCTTCTGAGCTCGCTTTGAAGAAGACAACCTTATAGTAGACTGTTGGAAACTGTATCATTGGCATAGATACTTCTTGCAAATAGATTAACATTACCATTAACCATTTTGGGGTTGATTATTGTTTAACTAAGAAATTTCATAAACACATTGCTCATAATCACTAGGATATAATATAAAAATTATAATGACTTAATTATCAATCAAGTAACACTATAAGTAAGTTTGTTCAATCAAAGTTCTTATTCAGCATTAATCATTAAAGGAGATAAAAGATTTTATGTGTAGATGTCAAGGAGATGTTAAGGAAGGGTATTGTCCAAAATTTTTAGAGTCTTTAGGTATAAACATTATTTTATAACGAAGTCTAAGAAGTATTCAATTCTACATCAACTATTGTTAGTTAAATAAGGTGATTATTTCGAATGTATACCCTCTTCCTTATACTACTAATCTTCTAGATTATTTTCAGAGAAATAATTGGTTCATTAAATTAGATTTTGCTTTTAGGTGCTGGCAAATGCTAAAAAAGATGTTCCCAAAATTGTTTTTTTACATCATTTGGTTTGTAGGAATTTTTGGTGATGTTATTCAATTTGAACAATATTTTGGCAAATTTTCTAGTGAATGAGGTTCTTTGCAATATGCCAAAGGTGATTGGTGACTTTATTGATGATGTCTTAATGCACACATAGGGAATGTAAGAAGAGCACATTTATAATGTTTGTAAAGTGTTAAATTAGTTGTGGGAATTTAATTTGAAACTAAAGTAATCAAAGTGCGTATGTAGGTCTAAGGATATTAAGTATTATATTTCTTGTGAAGATTTGAAAGTTGATCATTACAAATTTGTAATTATTATAAAGTTTTCTACTCTAAAGTGTATGAATGATATACAATACTTTTTAGGTAAGGTGTAATATCTTAATCATTTTGTTAATCATCTTTTTGATTATACTACACGATTGTAAGTATTGTTAAAGTTATTAATATCATCTTTCATCTAGGCTAAAGATTGCAAAATAACACTTTTAGATTTGAAAGTGCTATATTGATAACTCTTATAATTTTAGTGTATTCTAACTGCACTTTGACCTTTTATTTGCATGTAGATGCTTTTGATATTAATTTAAGAGATGTGTTGATGCAGAAGAGCACAAATATGTTTGGTTAGTGTTATCTTATTGCATATATGAGTTATACATTATAATCAATAGAGATAAATTACTTTATGATAAAGAATGAATATTTAGTAACAATTTGTTTCATGCATATTTACATGGTTCTCAGACATTACTAAAAGGTAATCATACTATAGTACTTCATATAATTGGCTTAATAGACTTTAAAATTTTAGATATATAATTTTGAGATTATTTATTACTCAAGGAATTGTATAATTGATGCTAATGCCCTTTTCCAAGTTTTACTTATCATTTTGCTCTCTTTTCATGTTCCTTATGAGCTTATTATTTCAAATTTAGTGTCATTTTTTAGATGAGGATTTTGTGTTATCAATAGTTACTGTAGTTGAAATCACTTGCTAAGAACTTGTCATTTCAGTATTTATAATATTAATATTAGCTTGAGGGATTAATTGTGATGATCATTTACAGCTGGTGGTGCCTTCAATCCTTATTCTACATTTTCTCCACATCTGTAGTAGTTTTTAAATTGGTTGAAGATGCGATATGATATTATCAAGTATATGCATAATTGTGTTTGATGTTAATCTAGTAATAGTCCCCCTCATGCTGCAGAAAGATGGTTTGAATCAATTATAGTTTTGAGTCTATTTGAATTAGTGGCATTTGATTTAATGGGGCATTTTCCACAGTCAATTATTTGCAAATAATACATCATTATTGCCTTCAATTACTTGACTCGCTAGGTGAAAGTTAGTGTTCTTGCTAGTGCATCAATGATTACTATTGGATATTTCCTACTCAATTGAATGGTGTTTTAACATTCTTGTTTAAAGTAGATTCTTTCAGATAATGGTCTTGCATTCATAACTGACGTATTCACGTTTTAATGTCTAGGCTAGAGATATGCCATATTGTCAAAAGTGTTTAGATAAATGGTTTAGTGGAATAGCTTGTTTGAACTTTCAGATAAATGATTATAAAATATATGAACTTTAAACATTTAGATTGAGATAGTTTCTTCAGTATGTGTATGTCACAGGGGTTCAAAGTTTCATCAATACTTCACTATATAAACTCTTATATAATCATGATTTAATACTTCTAATAGAGTTAAGTTTACCTTTACAATTGTTATGAGCTAGGTATTGGGAGAAATATTTGATAAGCATTCTTTTACTAATTTGAGTGAAGCTTGTTGAACACTTTGGTTGTATACAAGTGAGACAACAATGGTGCTACAACTCCCATTGACATCCACCTACAAAGTACAAAATAAATGACCTAGTGTTAATTTGTTTTCTCAATCATATAGTACATGGTTTGTCTAAAAGGCTCTTTATTTAGTGGAAGTGACCATATTGAGTGTTATGATAAATTAGACTGCAAGTTTATGAAGTTCTGCATGATATTCAATAGATCAATCCTTTAGAAATTATGCATATATATAATAGTTGAAGTGCTTCATACAAAGGGATCAAGAATAAGTTACACCATTTATAAATCCATTGATGCCTTTTCTTGAAGTCCTCCAAATTCTAGTTTATGAACCAAAAAACTTTAACTACATTCCATAGAAAAAGATGGCTATGATGCCATATACTAATATTAGCATAGTTAGATTTTGATATTTATTGGATTGATTTCAATTTAGACTAGTCACTCCATATATAAATTAGGGTTTTTAGGCTAATTGAATACATAGTTTTATATTTTATGCACTCATAAATCCATGTCCTATGGCATTGAAGTAATTAATCCAATAGAGCATTACATATATTTATAATATAGAAATTCATCAATGAAACTTTCATATTTAAAATATTATATCTAAAAACCTACCTTTAAAAATTACTATGCTTTAATGTTTAGTTTGTTTAATAATAGTGTTATTCCTGTTCAATATTACTTATTAGTTCAATTGATCAAAATATGATACAATTAAGAATTCTAAAAGCTTTTATTAGAAGAGAATTAGGTTTTTTGGTGAGAGTTCCAAGATTATTTTAGATTAATGACTTGGTATTATACTCTACAATGAACTCTATGAGTAACTATATAATAATAATCAGATAAATTATAATAATTATATTGTTATGTTCACAGTTTAACTCTACTCTTCCTCTTAGAGTGTTCAAGCATGAGCTATAGAACTTATTTTAAGCCTAAAAATGTATCTCATCGTCTTTATTTATAATTTATGAATATAAAATTAATATTATCAAAATAAACTAGAATATGCTAGGTAGTGTTTTGGAAAGTTTATAAATTATACAAGCATATTTTAAATAGATTTTTGAGTTTTGATGCTTTTCTCTTCAAAAATGTCATGCTCCATCACTAAATAGGCTCTTTGCTTTTCCAAAATTTGGCGGGAAATTGTAAAGTGTTTAGGGTTCTTATTGCGGAGGAGGGCTTCGTCCTCGAGGTATGACGCCAGGCTCTCTCTCGCTCAGCTCTCGATATCTCCAGGGGATCCGGCAGTGGTACCCTCTTTCTTTCGCGCATTCATCTAAGGAGCGAGAAGCATTGGAAATGTGGAAGAAAAGACTTCAGTGACAGACGGGGCAGCTGTAGGGTCGCTCTCCATCTCCATCGTCCCAGAAGGAAATTTAAGGAGAAGGGAAGAAAGAGGGCAGGGCACAGGTCGGGCAGTGGCCAGATTTTTTAGAATTCTTCCCATTGCCAGCTTCGAGCCAGAGCGCTGCTCCGTGGGAATCACTCTAAGCTACTTAGCTGACGTACGAGCGAGAAGAAAAGATTAAGAAAGTGGTGGAGAAACCAGGAAGAAGAAGGGGGAGCTTTCTCTTATGGTTTCTAAAACATGGGCAGTGCTTCGTGGGCTGGGCCTTCTAGTCTTGGCAGGATGAAAGACAGCTACTGGGTTCTCAGAAGAAGCCAGCGGAAGAAAAGGTGGTTAAAAGAGTGTTGTCGTCTCGTCAAAGTGTCAAAACTCTCACTTGGCGCTGACGTCCTCTCGACGTGGATTCATCCAGGCTTGAACTTCCCGAGGATCAATCCTGATCATCTTTTCTCCAGAGGAGGCTGGCTAGTGAGGACAGAGCTCCGTTTAAACAGGTCAAAGTTTCGCAACTCCTTCAGCCTTTGCTCGCTGTTCTTCGTCGCCATCGCTCACGGCCATTGTGATGATTGCTTTCACGTCCACTATAATCCCAGAGCAGCAATTCTGGCACTACTAGGTGATGCTTCAGGGAAGCACTCCAATGATTGGGAGAAACGTAACTTGATGAAGCTTTTGTCGGCACTACCACGGAGGTGGAACCTTATCCGTTGCAAAGGATATGGACTGTCTCCACGGATTCCGCAAGCGAGAGCTAGCCAACTATTCCAACCGAAGGTATCTTTCTCATTCTCCATGTTTTATATTATCGCACTCACTATATATGTGATTGACATGCCAGTGCTTCTTCTGTGCAAGTGCAACCACGACTACATAGCCAAATCAACACGCGTAAGGCATACTAGGCATGGAAAAAAAAAGATGCTGGAAGGCGACAGACCTTCCAAAATTCGCTATCAACAAGGTAATACGGTCGTCCTCTTTTGGTTTTAGAAGGCCTCCTTGATGTTTAGAGAAGACGCATCAAACTGCTGCCGCTCATGCCGTTTAGAAATGCTTTCTCATTGCGGTTCTAACTCGCGAACTTGTAATGCTGAATCAGGCGATCGGCTTCCCTTTGTCCGCTGAAATAAGCACCATGCGTCGTCGAATACTGATCCCTGTGAGTCGCCTCACCGGCGAAGAGCAACTGCAATGGAGGACCTGAGTCACTTAGACGTGGAACCGGGGCTGCAAGGTGGTCGATATCATCACCATTGGAACCAACTGCGACGTAGGAGTAGGAGCCGAGAAACAAAGGATTCCGATTCCAGCACCCGTGAGCTACGTGAACTTTGCCGCTGTGCGTGCCACCGTTAGAACTGGCGTCGCCACCATTGCAACAATGCTGCCGCTGTGACCCCAGACCTGCAACTCGACGCTTGTCACCGAAAGCAGCGAGAGTTTTCTGGACACCTCGGGCAATCTCTTCGTCGGACAGCTTCTCCATCTCCTTTGCCTCGGCTCCAGCGAACCACGCAACGAGCACGTTGGACTTCTTATGGATGGGGTACAGGGAATGAGTCTTCCGCATCCAACGAGGGACCTCGTCTTCGTCAGCGTCTGCCTGAGACTTGTGGATGAACTGCAAGTTGGGATGTTGAGAGCCATCTGGAGGAGGTTCGACGAGGACGAACAGCTTGTCCACGACACCGAAGCCGAGCTTCTCTATGGAATCCAGCTTCCAGTCGGGCAGGCGAGGCTGGAATAGCTGCTGTTCTTCCAAAGCCTTTGCCTTGAGAACGCCGAGAGAGACCGTGACGATAACGTGGTCAGCTTCGAAGGTGGAGCCGTCTTCGCAATGCAGCTGGACAGGATACCCGGAGGAAGCAGAAGTTCGAGCTACATCAGTCCAGACAACCTTGTCGACTTTCTTGTGGAACCGGATGGTGTCGGGTGGCAAGCTCTTGGCGAGAGCCTGGACAACAGAGGAGAATCCTTTACCTATGGTTATCTGCTCACCAGGAAACTCCCAGTACTCGTTGAACGCCAGGAGGTCTAGATCGTGCAGCGACTCGGCAGCAGTGACGCAGCGCTCCCAGTTCTCCTGAATTGTGAAGACACCTTCTTGAAGAGCTCTCAAGTTCCAGCCGCTGGAAGCGATGGAGGGGTTGTCCTGTTTGAGCAGCAATTCAGCAGCATTGACTCCAGCAGGTGTAGCAGCTTGTTTGCCGAGAAAACTTTCGAAACCACGACGAAGATACGACCCCAGGTTGCCAGAGTCTCCATGCTCGAGCGTCTCCGCGGTTACTTCCGGTGGCTCTCCTCTCCGATCGTTCACATCGTCGACGAGCTGCCTGTAGAGGGAGGCAACGTCGTGTGCAATGGTGGAGTGCACAGTGACTCCTCCCTGAGCTTTGACAATTGGGGGCTCCGGAAAGCCGTCCATGCACTCGAACGGAACATCCCCGTGGAGTGCTCCGGACTTTTCAGCGATGTCGAAAATGGGACTGCCTTCGACGCCGTGAATCCACGTAGCACCGATCTCAATCTGCTCTCCAGTGTCAAATTGGGACGTGAAGATTCTGCCGCCGATCCTGTCACTCGCTTCCAAAACGGTGATTTGCCAGTCGCGAGCAGCAGCAGGGGAAGAGTACAAGCGACGAGCTGCTGAGAGGCCCGAAATGCCGGCTCCAATGACGATCACGCGGGGTTTTCCGCATAGCTTCTTGAGCTCCATGAGCTTTCGCAAGGCCTGATGGAAGGAAGAAGGAAAGGAAAAGCGAAAGACGAACTGGTCATTTCATCTTCACGAGGGAGTTGAATGGAGAAGGAAGGTATGCTTATGATTATAATCATGCATGCGGTACCTGACGTTGAGCTTTTTTGGAGGAGAAGATTCAAGCACAGCGTTGCTCGATTGCGCTGGTTGCGCAGGTCATTGCTTCGTTTCCACTTCGACGAGACGTTAAACGACCGCAAGTCTGAGAAGGAGGAAGAGGAGAAGCTCAATTGAAGCGAAAATGCCAAGCCTTGACAAGGCAGTGGCAGGGACAAGTTGCGCAGCGCTAATCAGAAGAAAAGGCAGACAGAAGAAAGTCGGGGACTGGAATGCGAGCTGGCCTGTCTTTGGACACTGCAGAATGGAGGGGGAGAGACAGATCACAGCAAGGGGAAGTCGGAGGCACGAGGAAGAAAAGGATTGGCACAGAGGTACCAAAAGCCGAGGTAGATTCTTTTCCTTTTTTCTCTTTGCTGTTGGCTTGCTATTCCACCGCAAGCAACACTTGTTCCACTACTGCTAACTAATGCTCCCTTTTCTTGCTGCTGCAGTGAGAAGCTGTGATGAACTGCTGTTGCGACAAACACACACTTGAAGGAGTTGAAAGAGAGAGAGAGAGAGAGAGAGAGAGAGCAGTGGTGGGTCTCTATGAGCGGTCGCGGTCCATTTATATAGGACCGGCACAGTAAGCACAGAGTGGGGGCCTCGTCCCTAGAACACCACAGCAACTTGCGATATGGATGCCAACATTTTGGATTTTGGACCATTTGCCCCTCTGCGGTTTGTCCTCTACACCTTTCCTTTGCATTTGTTTTTCATTTCTTTGCACAGTAAGCTGTGGTCCAACTACTGATGTTGCCTGTGGACGTAGGTTGTATATACTGGACGTGCCGCTGCCAAAGCTCAGGGCGGCGTGACGTGAGAACTGGAGAGCGAGAGAGAGAGAGAGAGCGAAACAGTTAACACTTCGGGTCGAAGGAAGAATCGTCCAGTCCAGGTAATGTTCTAGTGGAGAGAGAGCTTTTGCTTTTTTGTTTTAGCTTTGGTCGTCTCGACTGAATCATTTTCTCGCAGACGAGAGGGGGTGGAAAACGCGCGCAAGACACTTCGCTCCGATCGATATGTTCCCTTGGAACATATCGGAAGTACAAAAACTCGCCTGGGAATCATGCCCAACATACGGGGTGGCTGCTGCTGCTGCTGCTTGCGATCCTCTCAACGTCTGGAGCTTTTCAAAAGATTCTTGCTTGCTCCAGCGGAACTGAATATCTCGATCCTGGAAGAGGGAAGGCATTCCTTTTGCTTTTCGCTTGTCTCGCTCACCACTTTTCTCGGTACTCTCGCGACGCTGCCGACACCAAAGCTGGAGTTCTCCTGTAAGTTTTCATGCTCTTTTGGCTCTTGTCATTTGCTGATACCACTCTTTGCAGTGTCCTCGAATGGTGTTTGCTCGATCGATGCCAGAGAAGGAAGCCTTTTAAAAAAGAAGTTGCAAAGAAGGTGGGCGCTCTTTTGTTGGCTCCAAGCTACATAAATCTATCAGCGCTGAGCTCGTGTTCGTGCAGGTCTTTTGAAAACTATTCTTTAACATTTTGCTCGTCCAAATTATATAGATGGAAGTTCACTAGAAACCAACAAAGCAGCCAAAGCTTTCGACGCCACACGACGACGAGCGAAACAGCGACAGACAAAACAAATCACGTAGGGGTCACAGTCGTTCCAGTAACAGCAAACACACCCAAACAATTCTACTCGCCAAAGTACCTCCACACGATATTTTTGCGATAACAGCTCCTTGTCAATGAGGTGTACTCAGCGCCAGTTAATTTACGTGATGTCAATGCATATCCATCCATATGATCTTCTTCTTCTTCCTCTTCACTGGAATGCAAAGCGTTTGGATCAAACAAATCCACCGCGTTTGGTGGTGACAGTTTGCACTGCGTAAACATTGTTAGCCTCAAACCCCAAAACAAATGGAAAGAAAATCTTACCTCGCTCTTTGACACGCTGGGACGTTTGATCACCAGCTTCCGCCACAAGCAACAAGGAGAGAAAGATTAGAATACAACTTAGGAAAACTTGCTTGCCTTGCAACGGGGAGTCAAGTTCCGCTGGCCCGACGAGAAGAAAAAACTTTTCTCGGCAACAGCATTTACGCTCCACATCCTCACATGCTCTTTGCAAGGTCCAAGGAGACAGAGCTGCTGTCCATTCTAGCCGGGGACACATACGCAGAGTACCTGTAACATGGGTGAATATCTCAACCGGATCTCACTGCCCCTTAAACAAAGTCACGTATGTACAGGAGCTCTCGAGCCAACGAGTGAACATTCTTCTACTTCTTCTTCTTCGCTTGCTGCGTTTGCATATGAGTCGCGGACTCGCGGACTCGCGGCTCGCGCTCGCAAGGATGAGAGGATATTAAACATCAGAAACTACTTATCTTTTGGAGGAATTCCAGAGTCGATTCGCCAAATCTGCGCCATTTAAAGACGTGATGTGAGTAGAAGTCTACTACCACCTGCCTGTGCGACTTCGAAGTACCTGAGCTCTTAATGAAGCGCGCAAAGCCGAGGTCTGTTACAAAATTGGCGTCCGTTTGCTTTGACCAGAGCCATCGTGCTCGCTGTCAGACCGGCCCAGACTACCGAGTAAAAAAACTGGTATATGTCTTGGCCAACTGCAAAACAGAGTTTACAGTCAAATCTCTCGCTAGGATTTCTTAATACCTTGCCGCAATGATACAGTCGTCATTGTTAATCCTGTGAGCATAACAGCTGAAGCGAATGGAAGGTACTGCCAAAATGACATGTTAGAGCTTGAACAGCAAAAAGCTTTCATACAGCCAGAGCTTCGAGGCCATTCAGCTTGAAAGGTGATGGCTTGTTTCGTGCAGCAGTGTAATGACCGGCTACCAGATCCATGGCGTCCTGGACAGGGTCAGAACATGTCACCATCAGGGGTCTCTTTGCAGTGGGGGCACACATTACCTGTTTGACACCGTCTGTAAAATTGTTGTAGAAATATCGAGCAAGTGCATTAAAGCCGTCGCGAATGAGGCCAAAAACGGTACGCTTCCCGTATCTATCACAGAGTCAGACGGAAGATTGCATATCCAATTCAGACTTGCCTTACGAAATCCCCTTTCAACGCCGGGGTTCCTGAATATTGTATGCTTATCTCGTCCCCGTGGTTCGCCCACACTACGCGCATTCGTGAAGGCTTTTTGTACGCATTGAAAATGCAATGAACTTACTTGCTTTGAATTTCGCATCAAAACTTGGATCCTTGTGTATTGTATCTGAAGCCTTGAAAACACCGAGATGCCGAAGCTGAGTCTCTAGTGCTTTCCTTCCAAACAAACTCTAGAGAAAACACAAACGAGACATTAGTTTCTTTTTCTTTTACCTTGTCAAGTTCGGAACCTGAGTAACATTTGTCCGGTCTAAGCAGTCCACGCAGTTAGTTCTAATAACACCAAGCTGTATTTGAACGACGTCGCCAGTGGCATTGGCCAAAAAGAACCTGTTAAAAGCAGCAAACATCAACAGCGGCAACATTTTTGCGTGTACCTCTGTTCGAGAATACTGTTTTTCACGTCCTCATAAAGCACGGATAGACGTTCAAAGTGTATGTGACCACATATACGATGAAAATCAAACTGCACATAGCTGCACATGAACATGAATATTGATAACCACAAACTTATGAAAGAAACTGCATCCTTACCGTAGCTTGTCAGTTACGAGCCTTTGCATAGCATTTGCATATGCTAAACTCAAGACCCCTTCACTCCCTTGCTGAAAAAGAGTTGCACACTGTAAATACACATATTGCATACATACGGCAGCCTCACCTGGTCTATCAAATCTACCGCCACAACAGAACCATATCTTTTTGATATGTCACGGAAGTGACGCTCCACCACTTTAGGCTGATCACGGGAGGTGAATTCATTTCATGATCAAGTGACTTAAAAGCATACCGTTTCATCTAGACACAAAGGCCGGATCGTTGGTTTATACGTGAGGTCCACTATCTGCTCCCATACTACAGGTATTGAGCCCCGAACCTGCAAATTACTGTTTAAAAATCACAAAGATTTCAGTGTAACACGACGAATACCTGTACATATGATGCAGTATAACCATCAACCTCAAGTATTTGTTCCGTCTCAACAAAGTTAGCAGCATAGCCTTCAAGATTTGCTCCCCTTCGCCACATCCTCGTACCTACAGTGCAAAACCGACAAATTGAAACAGGAGTAAAATCAAAAGAGCTGTGTTACCAATTCTGCGGATGCAGCGTCTCGACAGCAAAGCAATAGTTGCCAATTTGTCTCCTATCAATATCTGCATTGTCTGATAGCGTGTGTCATGTTAAGGAGTCGTAAGCTTTTTAGAAAAACTATCCCCAGGGTGTGGATATTGCCTTGAATAACCGGCAGTATGTACGGTTCCAGCTGCAGAGAGTAGAACGTCAATTCAATTGAGCGCGCCATCTGCTACTGACCTTCCTTTCGATAAGCTCCTCTAGCAAGTGCCTGTTCCACAAAAATCTGGGATCTGCCTGTGAGGGAAACGAAAAAACAAGCATGATTTTTCAAGTAACTGCACTAAGAAATTGTACCATCTTCCAGAGCGACTGCAATTCTGGTTTTAGCACTCCAGGCGATAGCTGCGTGCTGCCAAAAACTAGAGCCTTCAGCAACGACATCACAATTAACGAGCTTCATGCTTACGTAAGCGTCAAGTCCGTCTCGAAGGAGAAATACAGTCCTTGAGATGCCTCCACTGATTTCAAGAGGCCTAGAAAATGGACCTCATCTTTCTTCTGCAGAGAAAGAAACACAGTAAGCTTTAAGACAGGACGAGCGTAGAAGCTGTTACAACCTCTTCATCACCTAGGCCTTCAAACTGTGCATTACATTCCAGGATCCTCATTGACGACACTCTAAAAATTGGCACGCCGCGGTAAGTTCCAGCCTCATCCCTCGAGGTAATCACGAAGATATAAGTTCCTGAAACACGCGCAAATCGAAAAAAAAAAAAAAAGAAGGCTGTCCAGACTTTAGAAAAGAGTAGCATGCCTGCCAGTAGTCTGATCATCCCAAGGATTCCATAAATTGTAGAAGATGGCACGTCTTGATCAATGGGCATGACTTCTGAAAAGAGAAAAAGAAAGAAAAACTTTCATTGACGAAGACAAAAGAAAATAAAATCTACCATACCAACAAAAGACGCTTCTCCAGTCACGCGATCAAACGAAAGAGGACGATGAGGCCCGTCCATCGGCTCAAAGACATACCGCTCTGGAAATTCCAAGAGCCGCATTGACGCACACAGCCGCGGCAGCTGCGAGAACTGCGCCATTTCCCTCTCCATCACCATAATCCCCGGAGGAGCTGCCACAATCGCACAAAAACCCATCCATCGGAGCTACAAGCAAGGAATTCGATGCCGCTTACACAGATTCACATCAGCTACCATGCGATACGGTGGATTCCCTAGCCGGCTCCAGCTACCATGATCGATCGAGAGAGAATCCCACTAGCTAAGACCTAATCTGGGGGGCTGCATTCTCGAAGAACAAAAGAGAGAGAATTAGGGCAAAGCAGAGCTTACTAATTATCTATTCCCATGAATATTCTGATCACTTATTAAAGTTTGATACAGTTTTAAAATAATTCATAATTAGTTTATCATGTTTTGATGATCTCATGAGCCATTCGTTCGCTAAGCAGGTCTTCTGCCACCACACCTTCTATCCCCGCCCTCAACTTCACATTGCAGCTGAGTCAGAAGCAAAACAAGGGTGACAAGATTTCTCATTGGAAATGCCAAGTATTGTGCTGAGGTTTCAACCCAAGATACATCAAGAGGAGCAATAGACAAGTTGGTAAAATTGGTGTTTGATCTCCATTTCTCATAGAAATTTGCAAATGTCCTTGGCCCAATGTTTACCTGTTGACCACATGCTCCACATCTTCAAACTTCTTTATAACATGTGGTGTAGAGGTAGATATTATGCGGCAGCAGTGGTTTCAAACAATGTCCAAATTCCATTATCAATCTTGGCAGGACTCTCTGATTGCAAGGGGGTGAGGTCGTTATAGATTGTGAAACTGAATTGGCACCTCTGGTTAGTGGTGTTCATGTAAATTCTAAAAAGGATTCATCCAAGCATCACACCAACATTGGAGATTGCCAGGTCCAAAACTCCAATTGTTTGAATAGTTCTGTCATCAATGTGGAGAAGTCATAGGCAAGGGTGGCTGTCCATATCTAGAGAGTCTGCCACCAACTTTTTCCAAGCACTTTGGGCCATGTGTTGTGATTCAGCAATTGCCGCATCTGTAAGTTTCTGCCTGTGGAGAAAGTATGCACTTCGCACATACATGATACAATGTCTCCAAGCAAAAATCTCCACTAGGAGTAAACCTGTCTCCAGAACCATGATCAGGTATGGAACCTTGTACACCCTAAATTCTGTTGAAATGAAATGCTTATTAGTCTTGGACTTAACTTTTGCTCTATACAAAGCCACTATTGTTACCTTTGTCATGTAATAGGTGTGTTTGACGCCCCACTTATGTACGTTGATTAGAAGCTTTTGCCACTATGTGATGGGCTCCTCTACTTCAGTTTTCACAGGAGGTGTTGATTGACTAGGTACTTATATTTTTCCATGTGCTCAATCCAGCTTAGCTTCATCATGATTCAAAGTATTATCTCATAAATTTGTAGCTTACTATCTATAGTACTTATTCTATAACACATCACCTTTTAATGCTTCGCTTCATTTTTCAGTTCTTCAGTCCATGCTTCTTCTGCAGCTGCATACCGGTCATACCCTGGAGGCACTTCTTCATCGGATCTGTAAAACTCGAAGCCTAGGCCCGCTTCGTATAAAACTTCATCCAGTCGCTGAAAATATTCCCAGATAAGGGCTGCAAGAGGGCGGGGTGGCCGAGGCACAATGAAGATTCCCAAGTCTGGATGTTTTTTGCAGATCCGTTTGAGGTTTTCGTATTCAATCCGTTGGACGCAGAAACGAGGATGGTATTGCGGGAAGTCTGCTACCTGAACGATATAACCCAGCTGAAAACGTACACAAATAAACATACAAAGAAACAGAGAATAGAAACTGATACAAACCTGTTGATCAAGTCTCTTCATTGGTCCAGTGTAAGTCCTCTCTGCCCAGTCCTCATTTCGCAGGGGATCTCTTGAACAGTGATAAGTGTCGTGTCCCTTCGCTAGGCAGAGGTAGCAGTTCTTTTGTTCATGAGCAAAAGGATCCACTCCAGGCTAGAAAAAGAAACAAAAAGTCAAATCTGGAAAATTCAGAATAAGTGAGCTTTCTTACCCCCTTGCAGTGTCTTTCCCAGTGGCCTCTCTGCTTACAGCTTCTGCATTGGTCGATGAGTAATCCCTCCTTCTCACCCGGACGATGAGTTCCTATGATCTCGTACCTGTTACAAACAAAAGCAAGTAAACATCAAACCATATAACCTTGCTTACCTTGCTCGGATGCGTTCGGCATCTCGATTGCAAAAATGTCCACCTCCTTGGGCTCTTCCTTTGTGAACACATTGTGCTGCCCGTTTCTGCTGCCGCCGTAGGCCTTCTTGTGCTGCCCGTTGCTACTGCTGCCGTCGTAAGCCTTGCTGCAGTGACCGTTGCTGCTGCCGCCGTAAGTCTTCTTGTGCTGCCCGCTGCTGCTGCTGCTGCTGTAAGCCTTCATCCGGTAGCTATACCCCGTTCTTGGTGTTGAAAAGATACGAGCTTTAAATCATCCTGTTTATCGAGGATCCCTTACCTGCCGAAGCAAAGAGGACCTTGAGGAGAGCTTTATGTAGCTCCGATGCGCGATCACAGCCTGGGTGGCACAAATAATTAGGTTTCCATGAGCGACCGAGCTTCCACTCCATGGCGATTGATTACCTGGCAGGCGGGAGAATCGATCGGCTGGGCGATGCCACTTGTTGTCCTTGGCCACCAGCGGTGGCGGTGCCGGCTAGAGCTTGGCTCTCTAGTCCCGTGAGCCAAACGAGGGATTTCTTGTTGCGCGCATCTTACCTTTTTGGTGATGGAATTATCCCAGGTGGCGGGAGTCGATTTTTCAGAAACATTTTCACTTGTGGTCCATTAGACTTCTCTGGATTGCAGCTCGCTGGAATCTCAAAGCTCACCAGCTCGATGTGAAGACAGCATGTCTTTATGGGGAGCTCCAGGAGGAGGTCTTTGTAGAAGGTTTTTTTCTACTGAGGCAAAGAGACATTTGTTTGACTCAAGAAAGCACTCTATGGTTTGGGGCAATCTCCCAGGGCGTGGTATGACTGATTTCTCCGGCATCTTGGCTTCATTAAAATTCGAGCAGATGGCAACGTCTGGGGAAGAATCTTTGCTCTCCTAGCTTTATATATGTGGATGGCCGCTGAGATAAACTTTGGTACGCTTAAGTGTTTTTCTTTTTTCGAAATTTGAGATCTTGGCCATGTAGTTTTGTTTTGTTTCGGCAAAATCCACTTGGATGTTCCAAGTGTCCAATGCTTTGCGGCTTTTACAGATGTGCATTAATGAGCTTAATTACACAGTTCAAAATTAATTGAACAAACGGCACTGGAATATACTCATATAACCCTCAAATTTCTATTAAACTCTCCAATTTTTACATCAATGAGATTTATCGAATAGGCGATGAACCTGGTGGCAATGCGATTCCAACCTGGTTCTTCTCCTTGAACGATAAAAAGAGAAGAAAAGGAAAAAAAAAGAAAGCGAAGAGAAAAGAAAAAAGAAAACGAGAAAGAGAGAAGAACTCTATACCTCATGCTCGAATCCCAGGTGTTAAGAATCGCAGCGCCACCAGAGGAGTAGAGGACCCTCGATCCACCGCCTAGCCAGCAAATCCGCGGAAGAAGGAACACTCAAGAACTTCTCAAAGTCATAGCAGCAGCTCTATACCATCCCAGGTGTTAAGAATCGCAGCGCCACCAGAGGAATCGATCCACCGCCTAGCCAGCAAATCCTCGGAAGAACACCCAAGAACTTCTCTAAGTCGTAGTAGTAGCACCACCTTGCTCGAGCTCAACATCCGCGGGATCTCCAATCCAGAGCCTCCCCTCTCGACGAGCAAACTGGATTCGCAGCCTTCCATCAGCGTCCACTCCATAGACCACACCTCTGCTCGCCAGCGTCTCGTTTCCCCACCCCCACCTCGGCGTCACCACCGAGTGCTTTATCTGTACCCGGTCACCCATCCGAAACGCTTCCACGCGCTCCATCTCCCCTGGCTTGCAAACCCACAGCCTCTCCAGGAAGCAAAACGCTACTCGCAAGTCCCCGTCGTCAGTGATCTTGTGAACCACGCCGATGCTCTTGTGCGTCACCTCCCCCCACTGGTGAGTCGGCGTTGGAACGCTCGGTTTCACTCTCACCCAGTCGCCGATGCATATCGGCTGCTCTTCGTAAAGTTCCACCTCGGTTGGATCCAGCACCCACGACCGCTGCGACGCCGGCGAGTAAACTCTCAGCTTTCCATCCGCGTCCACCGTGGTGATCGTCGTGATCGTGGAGTGGTCGTGTCCCGACCATCCAAACCGCGGCTGCGAGACGCTGGCTTTCACGCGTATCCTCTGGCTGGCTTTCAGAGGCATGGCTCTTTCCACTTCCGACGGTAGGCCGATCCATCTTTCCTGTTCACCGCAGAATCCCACGAGCAGTGCACGCTCGTCGTAGTCACCTCCGTTTTCATAGCCGATTCCCTGCACTATTCCCACGCTGCCTGGCCGAGCACCTTTCCAACCATACTTGGTCTCTTGGAGATCGTCTTTCACTTTCACCCAGTCGCCTACTTCGAAAATCTCCTCCTTTTCAAGGTCGGCAGGATCTCCACGCCAGGGAGTCTTAAGTCCGGGAAATGCTATCCGCAGTTCTCCGTCGGCATGGACCCCGATTATGACACCTCTAGAGCTCGCTGTGCACCCTCGCCACCCCCACCGTGGTTCAGATATTCCTGGTCGAAATCTTACGTGCTGTCCAACACGAAGAACCTGAACCTTTTCCACCTCCGTATAGTGTGCCATCCAGCGGCCAGACTTGAAGCACCCTGATAGTTCCAAATACCCGGAATCGGAGACACTGTGAACCACCGCAACACTTTCGCTTATAGACCCGTGCCAGTCGTAGCTGGGCTTCAATCCTGTTGGAAGATTTAGCCGGACCCAATCCCCTACCTCGTATCCTGACAATCTTTCAGCATCTCCGGGAGCCACAAGCCACATCGTAGTTCTGTTGGCCACCTTCACCTGGTACAGAAATCCCACGAGAATTAATACAACATAAATAAAATTAAAACTCTTACATTTAGCGTTCCGTCCATGTCGATTCGTGATATTCTGCCTTTGGATGCAGATGTTTCACCAGACCAGTCTAAGCGGGGCTCGCTTATCCCTGGAGCTATGCGGACCTCCTGTCCCACCTCAAATGGTGTGACTTTCTCAACGTCGGTGATGGCACAAGTGTAAGCCTTACTGCGGTGAGCGAAGCCTACACCCATGTCGCACTGGTGAAGGTAGAACACAACACCAACACTTGCCCGGTTTATATCCTCCCAGCCAAACTTCGGTGAACACACGCAAGCTCTGATACGAACCCAGTCTCCAACCTGAGACGTAGAAACTAAGTAAGGTTTTCTATTTTTAATAAAAGACATACCTTGAAGTCCTCAATTATCTCCACATCAGAAGGATCAGCTTCCCAGTTCGTGGACCGTGAAGGAAGATCCACAAGAAGGAGACCATTGCTTGCGATTTCACTGATCATTCCAATGCTGTGGTGCGATTCTCCATTCCATGCAAACTTAGGCTCCGCCACAGATCGTTTCACGCAGATGCGGTCTCCAACCTGAAAGAAACCTGTTGAGAGCCTTTAAACAAAGATGAAATGTTTTGTACCTTGAAAGGTTCGACTCGCTCCACTTCCTCGGGCTCACAATGCCAGGGACTTGTGAGGTAAGTGAAGTCGATTAACAAGCTGTTATCAGGACGTATACTGTGTACAACTCCGATACTACCGGGAGTTACGGACCCCAAACCATACTTTGCAGACGTAAGAGTTAGTCGAATGCGAACCCAATCACCAACTTTAAACTCTTCGACCCTTTCCATCTCGGCAGGATCAGCTTTCCATCCTCGTGATGCACCGGGAAAGCCAATTCGAAGAATTCCATCGTCATCAACACATAATACTGTTCCAATGCTTTCTCGAGACTGACCACGCCAACCAAATCTAAGCCATAAAGGAAATGTTAAAAGAAAGAAAAAACGAAGAGGAGAAAAGCTTGCCTTGGTTGTTTCACGGTTGATTTGAGTCTTACTGAATGACCACGATCCAGTGGAATGAGTTTCACAACCTCGTCTACTGCCACTTTAGCTTCCCCGGAACAGAAAGAAACAAGGAGTGTAGTTCCATCAATTATGTTCTGGACAAAGCCAACACTCGACGGCCTTGTACTACCCCATCCATAGCGAGGCGAGCTTATCGTCCTTCTAAATTTTACCCAGTCCCCCACATCGAAGCTACAGCCGAAAAGAATATTAGTAACGAAAATTATTGACATCAAAATACAGCACTTACACTGTTGGTGACAACTGAATTTGCTTTTCGTCTAGAGCATCCATCAAGTCCTCCGAAATCCATTCACGGGGCAAAGCTTCGAGTAAATCCCGTAAAGTCTTTCCACTGTATTGCAAAAAAGAAAAACAAAAAAAGTTGGAAAAAAAAAACAGAAAAACTAAAAGCTCTGAAAAGAATACTAACCTGTGATTTTTTATGTCCGTGGCCGCATCACTTTTATTTAACATAATTACAATCCAATCAAGGTTTTCCCGAACCATTTTCGCCATTTCGGCAGCTATATGAAGTGCAGTATTCCCATTTTCATCCTGCAAAGCCGATAGTGAGATTCAAATCTGAAACCAGAAAGACCAACCTGTATAGTGCAGCTGGCATCGCGATCAAGAAGCAGATGTACGCATTGTTTTGATCCTTTTGTTAGTGCTATTTGAAGCGGAGTAGAGCCTTGTGCATTACAAACGTCAATACTTACGCCAGCATCAAGGATGGTCTAGAAAAAATCACATTAGCAAACTTCCTCTCTTACACAATATTGAATACCTTAACCATTTCAACGTCGTTAGCAGCAACTGCAACATGCAAGGCCGTCTGGCCTTGCTCTGGATCCATTGCATCGCCGTTTGCTCCAGCATATAAAAACAATCTCACTAGCTCTCTCGCTTCTGCACATGAAACAGAGTTCCGTGTGACTATAAATGCACCTTTGATAGCATACCTTCCTCGTGAGCCTTTTTAAGAGATGATGCCAAGCACAAGGCTGTTCCTAAAGGGCTCGGAATCTCAATGGCATTCTCAATGTCTTCAATCGACGCAATTTCAACCCATTTTCTTACAACAGCAACGTTTGCTGTGAGAACACACATATGCAAAGGTCTGCAGTACGACAGCTGGTTAAAGAGAACTGATAGAAAAGCTGTTAAGAAATGACATACGTAAAGTTCTCCGCGTTGCGATATGCCATTGAACTGCAGCCACCATTTTCCAAAATGACAACGGCGCAATCCGTATTTCGCCTCGCCACGGCTTGATAGAGAACCGAGTCACCATCATCTCCAATTGCAAGTGGATCCGCTCCAGCCAGTAAAAGCTCCTATTTGATAGACGTTAGTTCCGTGCCAGAATATTTGAGAAAAAACGAATACCCGCATGCAGTCAGGTTGGCCATAGAAAGCACAGACGTGTGCCACTGATGGACCGAGCCCGTCTTTTAAACGTGCATTTACGTTTGCGCCTTTCCGAATAAGCGCCTTTAGGACCTCCGGTGTTCCAGAGGCAACGGCACAAACTAGAGGGGTATCCCCATCCTTGTCGAGAATCTCAACATCTGCCTCTTCGTAGCTACATATGAGCTCAATGATAGAAGAATACCCCCTCATGGCCGCAATATGCAGCACGGTTTGTCCATCGCTGTTATGGCTCTCCAGGAGAGCTCGGATTGAACGCCCTGTAGCGGCCTTCGCAAGGAGCTCCCTGAAACATAATGCAGAAAAATTGATATTCAAATCACTTGACCAATGTGTCTACCTCACTCGATCTTCATTTCCTTCTGAAACAAGTTGATGAAGATAAGTGTGATTAACCTCGGAAAAGTCTAGAGTCGACGAAGGTGAAGGCTCCGTTCCCCCGGAACTTTTGGCCAGATCACTGAAAGACCCCCTCAAATTTTTTTAGCCTTCCAACAAAACGTATACAAGCTTACTTGTCTGGGCTTGCAGGAGGACTTGATGGCATTTCTCGAAGGTGGCGAAGAAACATAGCAAGCATGGCGTGGAAATTCGGTCGCTTTGAACCTTTGAACTGCAAGCAGTCTCCAATCATCTTCCAAAGTTCCCGTGGTATCCCACTACCAACAACGTTGTACTGAGGAGGCAAGCGTTTGCTCTTTACAACAGCTTTATAAATGTCATCCTGACTTGAACCAGCCCATCTGGATTGAAAAACATAAGAGAGGGTTTCAACTACGAATCGAAAAAGCGACAAAGCAGAACTCACGGTTTGGCTCCTGTACACATCTCCACTAGAGAGCACCCAAAGCTCCAGGCATCCGACTCCGCCGATACCCCATTCCCATCGTCCCAAAACAGGTTGATTGTTGTCTTTCGTAGCGGCTCCCAAGCTTCCGGAGCCAAGTAGCAAGGATTCAGCATGGCACACTCCATGCAGAAATGACCACTCGGCGTTTCCTCGTCATTTCCAGTGCCACGACCTTTCTTGCAGTTCGGCCGCTTCAAAACGTCGGGGATTCCATAGTCGGACACAACAGCTCTCCCCTTAGCGTCCAACAGAAAGTTCGACGGCTTCAAGTTGAGACACACAATTCCCGCAGCTTGGAGCTCGGCAACACCACGGGAAATATCAGCACCATACCTGTGAAGTACAAAAAAAAAGAGGAGACCTTTAACGCGTGAGCAAAGACTACAAGCAACAATCATACCTTAGAATTTGTTCCAGCGTGAGCCGACCTTCGTTCTGCTGCATCATACTTTGCACCGAGTTCTGGTACCTGTCCATGACGATGCAAAGCTTGCCATCCTTCTTGCACGCACCATACACGGCACACACATTATGGCACCACATCGCCGCGCGACGCAAGTTCTCGATCTTCGCCTGGACCCATTCCAGCTCCATGCCGGCGGCCGCATCGATCCTCTTCACGGCAACTTTGTGACGGCATCCTCCGGGGCCCGAGAGTGTTCCAGACCAAACATCCTGACCAGCTCGAGGACCAGTTCCAAGCGGCTTAACCAGCCGCATGATGTGAGATCCCAAGTCCACTGGGATCCCACTACAGCTCGCTGACGACCACCTCGGGCTAGCTGCGAGGCGAGAGCTTCCATAAATCCCACCGCCACCACCGAGCCACTCGTCCACGTCGTCCTGTTCATCCTCCTCTTCGTCCGAGTCCTCGTCCGCCCGGCACTCGGATGGAGCTCGCCGGATGAGCGATAGCATGCCAAAGTTCTTGTGTAAGGCCTCGACGCTGTTACCCACCTTGGTCGGCTGGCGGCAGCGCGGGCACAGTAGGGTGTGATCCGTGCACCGCGCAAACATCTGTGCCAGGCATTCCTTGCAGAAGCAGTGGCCGCATTGGAGCATCAGCGGCACCCTCTCCTCCTCATTGTACGTGAATTGGCACACCGAGCACACCGGGAGCTTCATTTTCGAGATTTCCCCCCGCCGCGGCACCAGAAACCCTCTCTTTCCTCCCAGAATTCACGCAAATGCGGCTATATACCTCGATTCACAGCTCTGTTCGTCGCCCGGCCTTGCCCTCCCGCAAAACCTTCGCTCCCGAAATGCCGAATTCCTGGCAAATCCAAGCTCCTGCTTCCTCAGCTAGCGTCCAATCCCCGCAAGCGAGCAGGAATGCTGCTGCCGCCCGCAAGCGCTCCGCCCTATCGTCGCCCTCCATCGCTGCTACGTCAAAACCCTAATCTAAAGTCCAGCTATGGCGGGCGGTCCATTACACATGGTCATAAACCCGCCAATGTACGAAAGGGGAAAGGGTTTTCGTAGATATCCCCCGCATATACTTTCGTCGTCTTGATTTTAGGGTTCCTGCCCAGAGGGATGAACTGCGAGATCTTCCACCTGAGAGAACTGGTATGTCGCTCTCGATTTCACGGCTTCGTTCGCTCAAATGTTCTTCCAGGACGTGGAGCCGTATCAAATCCGCGAGGTTTTGAGATGTAAGTTCTTCTTTGCCGCCGATTGCGCTCTAAAACTCGTGGATTTCCCAGGCATACTCCACACGGTCATGTTTAACAGGGCATTGGGCCTCGTCCGGCCGCACGACGTCGATTCCGAGCTCTTCGATCTAACTTATGTACGTCTCGAAATTTTTCTTCGCTTAGTTCTTTCATGGTCTCTCGCCCTTTAGGTACAATGTGGCGACTTAACATTTGAGAAGAAGATGGAGGAAAAAATCGACCAGCTCATTGCTTGGGTGGAAAAACATCCAAACAAGAAAATCACAGTGTGTATCAAACTTATCTCCTTTGCTTCTTCGATCGACCTTCGTTGTCACTCTTGGATGACGTTTCGATGCACAGGTTTGCCTTTCCTTCTACGAAACCAGAAGCAAGCAGAATGCGTGGTTTGGACACAAAATGGAACGCTTGTATTGGGAGCAATGGTATGTCACGCTCAACACCACCGTCCAGCAGTCACACTTAAGAAGCAAGCCTCACCACGACAAGCTTGGCGACGCTCTTGGTACGTTTCTTTGTTTTTTTCTATCAGTCTATGCGACTTTGCGTGTTTCTCTTGAGCTTTTCCTCGCACTCACACACTTCTCCGGCAGATTTGATGACCGATGAAAGATCGAAGCGTCATGCGCTACTCGAGTCCGGATTGAAAGAAGTGATGCTCCAGATCTTACAGCAAGTAAACGAGAAGAAGGATCACGTACCACCCGTCACTAGCCAGGATGTAGTCTCGTTCCCGTATGAGATATCAATACCAAGGTTTGCTCATGCGTTATCTTGGTTTGCTCTAACATGTTTCTTTTCACTTCTTCGTTTTTCCCCAGCTCGTCGGACTCCTCGTTTGGAATGGATATGTTCAAACGGATGCTGCAAACTGGGCCTCCCACAATGCTTGGCTGATGCTTTGCGCGCAACTTTCAGCAAAAATTGGATCAAATCTCCATGCCGGTGGGTGATGACGCAGGTTGTCAGTTTTTGCCTCTTACAATCCTTTTTTTTTTTCTGTGTTCCTGCAGCTTGTAAGTATTTGATATCGCCGCTCACTTGTAAAAAAAGAAAGGAAGCCACACGCAAGACCACACACAACACAGCCATACTTCGCTTTCGCGGTTAAATGCCACTCCAGGTACCACAGAGATTCGCTTGTTGGTTCTCACAGATTTTTTTACTTGTACATGTGTTTCGCCATCGCAAAAGCAAAGAAAAAAAAGCTAGAAAGCTGTTAAAATCTCTGACTGGAAAATATCGCAGTTGCCGGGAATCGATCCGGCGACGTCGGGGCATTTTATAAGGCGTGGATTTTGGGGAGCCCACTATATCCATGAGTGCATTGTTCCAGGCAAGAGTTGTAACGAGGATCACAACAAATGTTGATATTGTCACAGGGATCACAACAAATTCCAAGTTAAGTGTTAGTCGCCACCACGTTGTTGTTAATTGGAAGTGTCTTAAGAAAGATCCACGGTCTTATCAATCTCATGACGAGAGCTACGTGATTTGGGCGGGGATTTCCCAGATCGCCCAAAGAATATAATCTGATAATTTTTCTATTTGTATTTCATACGATAAAGATTACACGAAATTTAAAGAAAGGCGAAAAAGGCGAGAAAAGAAAAAATTGTTTCTACCATGGGGGGATTTTATTCGGGATCTCCCAATCGCATATAGATTTGGGGTTGAAAACGAACGCTTGTTGCTTCTAAGGGTAAACACCAATTGACAGGCAAGGGAGACCGCAAGGAAAATCTCCAAATCTTGCAAAGGAGAGGCCGTACAAGGGCAAAAAAAGAGAGGGGCCAGATCGAGATTATGCCGTGGAATGTTCCCTCCCATCTGGACCGTCCGCGGGCCCGACGGCATCGGACTGGCCCACCTGGCAGGTGAAAACTGGTGGGCCACGATCCGGGCCGTCCGCGCGGCGAGGACCGACGGCCGCGATGGGCGCGAGATATTATCGGCAGACCATGTGCTTTGGAAATCGGATTTGATACATTTTGGGCGATCTTGTGTGCGCAATCACACGGACGGAGGAACCGAGGTCCTATCTGTCCCGATTTAAACTGGTTGGGGGGGTCGTCTCGTCGCGTTAAAAAATTTATTCTCCTCCTTTAAAATCGGGCGTGTGTGGTTAGCACTAGGGATTCCATTTCTCCATTCCATTTTTCCCCCTCTGTCTTTCTCTAGGAAGAATCAGTGGCGGCAGGCGTTTGTAGAATCGGTGTTAGCACCAAGGTGCGTCAGGTATGAATCGGATCAAGGCTGCATTCGTTGCGAGGTGATCTTCGTCGCCCGATCCTGGTGATCCGATAATATTCCTGGAAATATCGCTAGATCGCCGTGATCCCGTCGCCACGCAGGCCATTGGCTGCCAGATTCTCAGCGATCTTCCTTCCCGCTGCCGGCTTTTGGAATTTCTTGCTCGCGCGGCGGCGGCGCACTGATCTCTGGATTGGGATGCCCTGGCGGCAATGCAGGCTCGTGGGGGCCTTCACTTTGACAAATCCTTGGTGGACCCGAGGCTGATCTCGCGATAGCGGATTTGTTGCGAGACAGAGACGGGCAGTTCAATGGTGGCTTTAAAGCAGGTCCAGCACTTCTCGATCAGTTAAAAGCGATCCAGATGGATTCTTCCGCCATCGATCGGAGCTCCACGGAGAATTGTGCCGCGGAGCTAGAAAATGTAAGAGCGGAGAATGCCAAGCTGAGGTCGGAAAACGAGGCACTGATTCGCGAGGTGGAACAGCTCAAGCTCACAGGATCCTCGAGAATTGCTTCTCCGGAGGTGGAGTCGAGCGTAGAGATTGCCGGGCTTCTCTCGGCTCTCAAGGATTCGTGCATTTCCATCAGCTATTGCGACAGTGATCTTCGATATGTCTGGGCGACCCACTTTTTAGAATCTTTCACTGGGAAGGTAGGCGCGTGTTTTCGAGATTTTTTTTTTTTTTTTCTTTTACCTCTCATGCCTAGTGTTGTACCTGCAGATCGTGCATGGAAAGCATGATGACGAGATCTTTCCCGTCCAGACTAAAGGGCTAGAAGAAGTCACTTTTCTTCGGAAACAAGCGTTGGAAAGTGGCAGCCTACAGATGGATTACGTGCAAGTATTCATACCCGATCAGGGACACATGACTTGGCTTGTCATAGCTAATCCAAGGTTTGGTCACGAAGGAGGAAAGCAGGAAGTCCCAGTTGGCGTGATCACAACATGCTTAAACATTCCACTGGTATTTGTCTCAGTGGACATTAATTCATGCTTGACATGTTTATTTCAGGCTGGTGATTCACAAGCGCTGGTCCGAAGCAGGACCACTGAATACGAACTGAGAGAAGCAGTAAGGCTGACAGGTACTTATAGCGTCCTCTTTCCGGAAAATCTTTCTCATGCCGCTCTTCTGTTTCTGTTGCAGAGGAAGCAATTCGAGCAAAAAACATGTTTCTTTCCATCATGTCCCACGAGATTCGAACTCCGTTGAACGGACTGCTTGGACTTGCTCAGGCTTTGGAGTCCTCGGGATTGGACAGGGACCAAAGAGAACTCTTGCAAGCAATTGTGTCGTCCGGTACAATCATCGCAGACATACTGGGCGACATTTTAGATCTAGCCAGCATGGAATCAGGTGAGCTTTACATCGCATTTTATGCTGCGTATACCAACTGGGGTTCAAGGTGCCATGAAGTTGGAGACGCAGCCTTTCAGCCCGGCCGATATTGTCCATGAGATAGCGAAAATGGCTGTTGCTGCTACACATGAAAAAGGATTGGAGGTCTTGAGCTATGTTGGAAAGAGCGTACCAGAGGTGGTAAGCAAAACATTTCTGTTTTATTTCCTGGGGCTTGCTAATGAAACTTGTCAGGTGATAGGTGATGGGCTGCGAGTTCGTCAAGTAATGAAATATCTCGTGTTGAACGCGATTAAATTTACTCAGGAGGGCAGTGTTCAGATTAGATTAGATTCAATACCCATGCTGGGAACACCGGACGATCCACGGTTTCCTAGTGACGAGCTTGTTACTGGACGTGAGAAGCGTCAAAAGGATCAGCCTGTGAAAAGTGGGTGTCGCGAAGGCGACTTTGTACTTTATTGTCAGATAGCTGACACTGGACTTGGAATCCCGAAAGAGGTAAGCGTCTATATGCTCGAACGTACTTTCACCATTAACGGTGGCTTATTTCCAGGCATTTGCAACGCTGTTTGATCACTTCCGCGGATTAAAGTTCTCGAGCACTATCAATCATGGTGGGACTGGCCTGGGCTTGGCTCTCTGCAAACAGGTACGTACAACTAGGCAGGACAAAGATTTAACAATCTTAACTTTACAGTTGGTGGAACTCATGGGTGGTCGACTGACAGTGCACAGCGAAGTCGGCAAGGGGTCAGTGTTCACATTCAGCGTCCTGTGCAAGTCGCACGATCGAGATTGCAGCCCAGAGCCGACCGCAAAGCCTGTGGACAACAGGCCGCCGTGCAACCACCGCAGGAAAGAGCCGAGGATCCTCCTGGCCGAGGACAACAAAGTGAACGTCATGGTGGCGATCTCCATGCTCAAGAGGCTGGGATTCACGGCACAGGTGGTGGCAAACGGAGTCGAGGCTCTCGAGGCGATGCGGAAGGACAAATACGATCTGGTGCTGCTCGACATATGCATGCCGCTCATGGACGGCTTGCAAGTGGCCTACGCGATCCGGAAGTTCGAGCAGACTGGTTCTTGGCCGGAAGGGATCTGGGACGGGAACGATAGCAAGGAGCTCTCGACCGCTCTGGAGGGATTCCGGAATGGAGGGAGGGAGGAAGATAGCACGGGGACGTCGCCGAGGATACCGATCATCGCCGTGACCGCCAACGCGCTGAGGTCCGATATCGAGCGGTGCTTCGCTCACGGGATGGATGCTTTCATCCCAAAGCCCGTGATGTTCCAGAAGTTGAGAGAGATCTTATCGAAGTATCTTCCTCTTCCTCTGGAGCAGCAGTAGGGGTGTTCCAGAGCTGAAAAAGTGGCGCTTCAGGGATTTTTTAAAAAAAAATTTCTTTTTTTTAATTTTTTATGTGTGTCCGTCTGCGGGAATCGGGGTAAATGGCCATATCTAACTTAAGAATATGCTTATTAAGAATATGCTTAGCCTTTGAGGGTTGCATCAAAGCTCTCCTCAAGGCCCTCTTTGATTGCATTGCTTGGGTCCTCCAGGTAAGGGATCCTCGATAAACAGGATGAATTAAAGCTCGTACCTTATAGCTACCTGTGGGTTCTGGACATTTCCTTTTTGAGGATGAAGGATTACAGCAGCAGCAGCAACGGGCACTACAGGAAGGCTTACGACGGCAGCAGTAGCAACGGGCAGCACAAGAAGGCCTACGGCGGCAGCAGCAACGGGCAGCACAATGCGTTCACAAAGGAAAAGCCGAAGGTGGTGGACATTTTTGCAATCGAGGACGCTGCCGAACACATGCGAGCAAGGTAAGCAAGACTGAGTTTGATGTTTACCTGCTTTTGTTTGTAACAGGTACGAGATCATAGGAACTCATCGTCCAGGTGAGAAGGAGGGATTACTCGTCGACCAATGCAGAAGATGTAAGCAGAGAGGCCATTGGGAAAGACACTGCAAGGGGGTAAGAAAGCTCACTTATTCTGAATTTTCCAGATTTGACTTTTTGTTTCTTTTTCTAGCCTGGAGTTGATCCTTTTGCTCACGAACAGAAGAAATGCTACCTCTGCCTAGCGAAGGGACACGACACGTATCAGTGTTCAAGAGATCCCCTGAGAAATGAGGACTGGGCAGAGAGGACTCACACTGGACCAATGAAGAGATTTTGTCTTCAGGTTTGTATCACTTTCTATTCTCTGTTTCTTTGTTTATGTTTATTTGTGTACGTTTTCAGGTGAGTTATATCGTTCAGGTAGCAGACTTCCCGCAATACCATCCTCGTTTCTGCGTCCAACGGATTGAATACGAAAACCTCAAACGGATCTGCAAAAAACATCCAGACTTGGGAATCATGGTTGTGCCTGAGCCACCCCGTCCTCTTGCGGCCCTTATCTGGGAATATTTTCAGCGACTGGATGAAGTTTTATACGAAGCAGAGCTAGGCTTCGAGTTATACAGATCCGTTGAAGAAATGCCTCCAGGGTATGAACGGTATGCAGCTGCAGAAGAAGCATAACCTTTCAATGCTTCGCTTCATTTTTCAATTCTTCAATAGATGTGTTTTAATAAAGTAATAGAATAAGTATTATAGATATTAGGCTGCAAATTTATGAGAAGGGGAATAATAATACTTCATGAATTCTCTTAAAATATTATCAACTTTGATAGAGTAATTTTATCTTATTACAATGATTAATTACAAATACAAATCTACTTTTAAGACCTAAAAGTCGAATATAATCTTTATTAGAAAATTTAAAAGAGCTCCAATATTCTATCTATTTTTATCATTAAGAAATAAATATAAATTAAAACATCCTCATAAATAAAGAGGTTGAAAATCAATAACTATAAAATATTATTAGTGTAATAAGATTTTAGTAGCCATCAGATTATTTTCAATCCAAACCCTTCACTCTTCTATATACTCACAATTGCATTGATCCAAGAATAGTTTTAATATGGAGTTCATCAGCATAAAGTAAATTAAGGGTATTGTTAAAAAACTTTATTAGAGATTATTATTAAAAAGAAAGTGTTCTTTTTATAATAGTAAGGTATAATTGGCCAATACAAAAAAATAGTTATATTTACAGAATTTAACAGTAACTGCAAACAACGTGATTTATGTTTTTATGGAAGCAAAATTGCATTTATGGTATTGGGTAGTAAATACAGAAATAGTTTTTCTGATTTATAGTTTTTCTGGGTTTAAAATTTAAATGTAATACAATACGAATGCAGTCACTTTAAGCTATAAAAAGTCATTATATAGTATTTAGAAATATTACTTGATAGGTTGATATAACATTTGAAGTTTTGCTTAATTCTCAAATATTTCAGAGTGATTTTATCTAAATCTAAAGTTCTATTTGTTATTTTATAATTATGTATATAAGCAGCTCAGTTCTATGCAGGTCGTTGATTAGATGCCTTCAAATATTAACCATCCAATTAATAGCATATTTCCTAACTACAAAACAAAAAATAGAGCATTATTGTATTGGAATGCCAGATGGGAATAGACACAGTAGTAATATAAAAGTAAAAATATAATATAAAACATTATTTCTATGCATGTATTAAATTATATAAATGATTTTAAGGTCTAGTTAGACTATAGTCAATGTTTATAAATGTTTTAATTAGAAAATAATATTATAATATAATAAATAACTATAATATATAATTATTCTATTTTGTTAGATATTGGATATTTTGTTTGTTTCAAATTAAAACTTGAATGGTAATTTAGAAGAGGTAATTTTGGTTAAAAACCATAGTAAATGTGAAGTATGTCAAGTTTAACATAGTAGAGTAATTTTATATTTGGTGGACATAGATTAATATGTAGCTATGATAGCTACATATTACTTTATCTGCACCAACAAACCTTTGCCCTATTCTATTATTTCTCCATATTAACTTATAATTTTGATTTATTTAATTTTTAGAGAATTGGGCCAAAACTGTCTTGAAGGGGTATAGTCCTTATAAAACAATTTAAATACAACAAACCATAATTTCTGCAAAGCACTATAATTTTTTAAATATAAAATTCCAACTTTTAATGATATATATCTTAAAGCTATAAATAAATATAAATATGATTTTTATTTTAGATTCCCATGTCTAACACCAAGCTTGTACACACTCTTTGCTCCACCTATATCTTCATCTCGTGAATTTCCTCAGCTCTTCTAATATAATTGCAAAATATATTAGGCAATAAAAATAGAACTGTGTCAATCTCCTTTCAGCATTCTCCAACTCTTGCTTATATATGATAGAACTAATTCTCAAATATAATAATTTTATTATATATATTATTTTATATATGATGCTTTTATTAATGTATTTGCTATCTGATGTTTCAATATCATTTACTACAACTCTAACTACTCTTTGTAGAAATGTTTCAGTTTATTAGTTGTAATTTTATCCTCAACTATTTAGAACAATCATAATGTCAAAGTCAAACTTTTTAAGATATATATAAAGGAAGAGTAAATCATCCATTTTTGTAGGTTAAAAATGCTAGCCTTTAAAAAAATTCGTTCTCTTAATATTTTTTCTTCTGTGGAATGTAGCACCTATGTGATATTAATGATGTAAATTGTTAGGCAGAAATGTTACCACAGCAATCTTTAGAAGATTGTAAACACCGGCCATATATATATGTATATATATTCTACATTGTCTACATATGGACCTAGGTTGAAAGCATCAAAATGATTTGTAATTAGTATGTTTTAAAAATAAATATGCTTAGTAAAATGGATTTATGTTCCTATAATGTGCCATTTAACTTTTCTACCCAGTCAAACTCTATTTGACAAATAGATGGTTCTTTTTTATTTTAGTTTATTGGTATTTTAGCATAGATATTGCATTGAGAAGACAAAATGCAAAAACTAAAAAAGAATCAATTGTAAATAACAAGTAAACGTATCAGTCTGTAGTTAAAATTCAAAAAATAATATAATTTACTTTTTCTAACAGCCAGATAATAATCTGTGTGTGTATTTTATATTCATTCTATATTTTTATCACATTAAGACATCTATTTAATTTTATTTAGGCCAGCATATTTTAAATATATACGAATATTGCTGCTGGATTGTGGATAAAATAAATCTTTAAGTTGATTCTTTTGTACGCTTTCCCTTCCTTCGCTCTCCAGCATCCCTCCACTTGCTCGGCTAGTTTGTTCAGGGAGCATCTCATCTCTCGTTTGCTGAATACAAGATTACTATTGTTGCTGGGACAAATCCTGGCCCTTCGTTTGATATGCAACTTAAGAATATGCTTGGTATAAAGGTTAGCGTTTGACCCAGGTCGCTCATGGAAACCTAATTATTTGTGCCACCCAGGCTGTGATCGCGCATCGGAGCTACATAAAGCTCTCCTCAAGGTCCTCTTTGATTGCATTGCTTCGGTGCTCCAGGTAAGGGATCCTCGATAAACAGGATGAATTAAACCTCGTATCTTTTCAACAACAAGAACGTACCCCGTGGGTTCTGGACATTTCCTTTTTGAGGATGAAGGCTTACAGCAGCAGCAGCAACGGGCAGCACAAGAAGGCCTACGGCGGCAGCAGCAACGGGCAGCACAATGCGTTCACAAAGGAAAAGCCCAAGGAGGTGGACATTTTTGCAATCGAGAACCCTGCCGAACGCATGCGAGCAAGGTAAGCAAGACTGAGTTTGATCTTTACTTGCTTTTGTTTGTAACAGGTACGAGATCATAGGAACTCGTCTTCCGGGTGAGAAGGAGGGATTACTCGTCGACCAATGCAGAAGATGTAAGCAGAGAGGTCATTGGGGAAGACACTGCAAGGGGGTAAGAAAGCTCACTTATTCTGAATTTTCCAGTTTGACTTTTTGTTTCTTTTTCTAGCCTGGAGTGGATCCTTTTGCTCATGAACAGAAGAAATGCTACCTCTGCCTAGCGAAGGGACACGACACGTATCAGTGTTCAAGAGATCCCCTGCGAAATGAGGACTGGGCAGAGAGGACTTACACTGGACCAATGAAGAGACTTGATCAACAGGTTTGTATCAGTTTCTATTCTCTGTTTCTTTGTATGTTTATTTGTGTACGTTTTCAGGTGGGTTATATCGTCCAGGGAGCAGACTTCCCGCAATACCATCCTCGTTTCTGCGTCCAACGGATTGAATACGAAAACCTCAAACGGATCTGCAAAAAACATCCAGACTTGGGAATCTTCATTTGTGCCTCGGCCACCCTGCAATCTTGCATCTCAAATCTGGGAATATTTTCAGCGACTGGATGAAGTTTTATACGAAGCAGGCCTAGGCTTCGAGTTTTACAGATCTGATGAAGAAGTGCCTCCAGGGTATGACCGGTATGCAGCTGCAGAAGAAGCATATATTGAAGAATTGGAAAATGAAGCGAAGCATTGAGTAATAGAGTAAGTATTATAGATATTAGGCTGCAAATGTAATTTTTCGTTTTCATAAGTGTTTTCTCATTAATTAAAACTAAGTAATGTTTATATTTAAAACTAGTTTAATGCCCTGAGAGATAAAAAGAAGGTTGTTTCTGGGAGGGTTCGCATTGGCGCTGCGGAGCTCGGGCGATGGATCGTCCCCACAAGAGGCAAGACTGCATTTTGTGAGAATTTCTGGCCTGAATCTTGGCGTTGTTGGCAGTAGAATCATCGAAATCTTTGCTCGCCGCTTCCCTGGTAGAAATCTGGTGCTTTTGTGTCTGTGCCTAGGCAGCGCAGCGATCCATGGGCCTACGCTTTCATCGAGCTGGAGAGGTCGCAGCGCGGCGCTGGTACTCACGGACCGCTGCCGCTGGATGAGGCGTTGGTGCCTGAAACGAAGCTGGTGTTGCGCCATCATTCCAGTCGCTGTCCAAAGCTTTGCTACCTCGACAAGGCCGCGGACATTGGTCGTTTGAGGAGCTGCGACGCAGTAGAGGGTATCCTAAAGACGATGAGGGAGCAGCACGAAACATTCAGAGCAACAAAGTTAAGAACTTTTCACTACACCAGTGGGAAACAGTCCAGCAGGAGCTGCAAGCATCGATCGTTCAGTGGAAGCTGCTACAGGGACTTGCCTCGACGTTTTCATCCTCGCAGCATTTGCTCTTGCCGAAGGATGCCGCTGCTGTTACGAGAAGACGAATTCCATTGGCCTCTTGGGATACAGGGCTCAACAAGACTTCGCCAAAATGGTCTACAGCACGGATCACATACTATCTTTCGGCTCGAAATCTCGACCAATTCAGCTGCATTGTCGTGGACGAGCACGGATTTACTCTTAGCAGTACTGAAGGAATGTTGACGTGCACTTGAGAGTCATCGTCATGTCAGCTATAGCCGATGCTGAGCTTTTTAGCGGCATCGAACAAGCACCACTTGTCGTTCCTGGAAGGAAGTTCCCGGTTGAGATCCACTACGAACTACGCGAGAATTCAACCACGTAACAAGGACAATGGAAAGTGTTTGCGAGCTTCACAAGGAGGCCGATTGAGGAAGATATATTGGCTTTCCTCACGTCCCAGGCGGATATCGAATGGTTCTACAAATGATTGCTTGTGCTGCCTCTTCATGGAAGGCTTCGTCAAGAGGATCAGCAACTGGTATTCGAGGCAGCACCACCTGGTACGGGAAAGATAACGGGAAAGATAGTCTTTGCAACAAATATCGCCGAGACGTCTTTGACGATGCCAGGAATCAGGTACTTCAAAGTTCTTTTTATGATAATCTTCCTTGAAGCATGTAGCTGATACTCGCTTTCTCGGGTGGATCCAGGATTCTCAAAGCAAGCTATCTTTGATCCACAGATTGGGATGACAACGCTGGAGCTTACGGCAATCAGTCAAAGCTCCGCGACTCAAAGAGCTGGTCACTAGTTCTGGTGTCTGCTACAGATTGTACAGCAATGAAGACTTTGACGACATGGCTTTGCTGGGGACTTCTGAAATTTCCCGTTCTCACATGGGGATAGTAGTTCTCAAGCTTCTGGCACTAGGCGTACAAGACGTGGAAAACTTCGACTTTGTGGAGCCTCCCAGCGCCAGTGCTATCAGTCACGCAATGACGAGTTTGCAGCGGCTGGAAGCCATAGCTAAGGATGACGAAGTGAAGAACTGGAGGCTCACGAACTTCGGATTAAAACTGGCCAAGATAGGAGTGGAACCATGGCTAGGCACACTGTTGTGGTCGAGAAGTCAGTACTCCGATATCACCTGTGACGACCATCTTGGCTAGAGTTTGCGGCAAAAACCAGAGCAGACTAGCTCGAGCAGCCACACAAGGTCCAGGATCGAGAGTCGCATGAACGAGCTTATGCATGCAGCGTCTGGCGGTGGAAACTGTCATGACAACCGTGGCGAGACAGAAGCGCTGGCTTCAGCTGGGATTTCGAACGCCCGTGACTCTGATCGGGTCTGCCGGAATGGTGAAAGAGATAGTGGCGCCTGGATCGTTCACGAGCGTGTCGCTATGCAGACACCTCGAAGCTGGTTGACAACGAGCTGCTCATTCTCTTCGACGAGTGCGGTGAAGGCATCCACAAGTTTTTTGGAGCGTCACCTCAGACAGAGTCGTGAGCTTCTGCCCAACTTGCGCTGAAACTGGGGTCCAAGACGCACAATGTGACACTTTCAAGGCCGGCAATAGTCTGCTTATCACTCCCGTGACGGAAAG